ACAGGTTGATTTCTGTCCTTTCCGGATGCCTCCAGAGCCACCGTCGCTCCCCAGCCTGTTCCTGCCATCACAGGTGACCACGGGCTCAATTGACGGTATTATTGGTGGCCGGGAAGTACAAGCAACTCCCTCATGCAATTAGCTGGCTTGCCAGGGGCTAGGGAAGCTTGTTGAGAGCCCTGGTCCTTTAGAAAAAAGTATAAATTAAATTTTTATTGACTTTAGTGTAAGATGTTAAAAAAAGTCAATACTTTCATATCTAAATCTTTTCCTCACTCCCCTGCTCCCCTGCAAGCTGGATAAATACAGCCCTTCCTCCTAATAATGGAAAATTCCTTTGGAGGGGCTGGGCCTCTGTCTGGGGAGGCACTTCCTGTCGCCCAAATTACAGGATTAAAGCCGCAGCAGGTCTGGCCCAGGTGAGATGACTGAGAACCTGTCTCTCCTCATTTCCTCATTTTCCCAAATTAAATCTTGTTTCTTGGCTGGCAGAGCTTTCCTCCAGGCCTCTGTGGAGTCGTTTGTTTTTCTGAAGGCGCAGAGATGGGGAAGCAGCTCCCTCTGTTTCCACCGGGAGGCACAGGGTGGTGGCCTGGGAGGCCCTGCTTTAAGCCAGGGGGCCTTGTCACTAGTGCCGAAGCTGGAGTGCAGTGATGCAATCTTGACTCGCTGCAACCTCCACCTCCCGGGTTCGAGTGATTCTCCTACCTCAGCCTCCCAGGTAGCTGGGATTACAGGCATGTGCCACCACACCTGGCTAATTTTGAATTTTTAGTAGAGATGGGGTTTCTCCATGTTGGTCAGGCTGGTCCCTAACTCTCAACCTCAGGTGATCCACCCACCTCGGCCTCCCAAAGTTCTGGGATTACAGGCGTGAGCCACTGTACCTGGCCTGTTTTGGTTGTTTTTTTTTTTTTTTTTTTTTTTTGAGACGGAGTCTTGCTCTTGTTTCCCAGGCTGGAGTGCAGTGACATGATTTCAACTCACTTCAACCTCCGCCTCCCAGGTTCGAGTGATTCCTCTGCCTCAGCCTTCGAGTAGCTGGGATTACAAGTGTCTGCCACCATACCTGACTAATTTTTGTGTTTTTAGTAGAGACTGGGTTTCACCATGTAGGCCAGGCTGGTCTCGAACTCCTGACCTCCAGTGATCGACCCACCACAGACTCCCAAAGTGCTGGGATTACAGGCATGAGCCACCGCGCCCAGCCCTCATTTTTGTTTTTAATTAATTAACCCCTCCCCTCCTGTCCGTCACCTCCCCTCCCTTCTTTCCTTTTCTTTTTTTTTTCAGGGTCTTGCTCTGTTGCCCAGGCTGGAGTGCAGTGGTGTAATGAGAGCTCAGTGTAGCCTGCAACTCCTGGGCTCGAGTGAGCCTCCTGCCTCAGCCTCCTGAGTAGCTGCGACAACAGGTACACACCAGCAAGCCCAGCTAAGTTTCATTTATTTATTTATTTTTTGAGACAGGGTCTCTCTTACCGAAGCTGGAGTGCAGTGGTGCCATCATGCCATCACTGCAGCTGGGACTTCCTGGATTAAAGCGGTCCTCCCACCTCAGCCTCCTGGGCAGCTAGGATCACAAGCAGGCCACCCAGCCCAGATGATTTTCGCAGTTTTGTAGAGACAGGGTTTCTGTGTTGCCCAGGCTGGTCTCGAACTCTTGGACTCAAGCAGTCTGCCCACCTCAGCCTCCCAAAGCTCTGGACTTACAGGCATGAGCCGCCTGGCCTGGCCTCGGTTTTTCACTTTTGGTCCCACCATTCCAGTGCCGAGCCTGTGAGACTGGAGTCATGACCCAGCAGGACTGCACCTGCACCTGAGGGGGAGCAGAGGTGGGCCCTGGAGGGCTCTGTGACCTGTACCGTATGGGCAGGGTTACCCTTTGGGTTCTCCCTGGCAGTGACCCAGACGTGCTTCAGTTTGTCCTCTAACAACCATCGACTCTGGGCCCCTCTCTGCGCCAGGCTTCAGGGAGAAGGAAAGTGGGAGAAGCCCCGGGGGACCCGGGCAGCAGGCGGCCGCAGTCCCTGTGGTTCGCTTTCTGCCGGGGAGGGAGACCAAAAGAGGACTCTGGGGACAGATGAACTGGCCTCGATCGGCAGGAGCAGCCAGTCCTGGCAGTGCAGGCTTCGTGTTCTGTGGTCGTTTGGTGCAGCCCAGTGACGTGGGAGGCTGGGGAGGCCTCGAGGTTACCTCCCTGGAGGAGATCAGAGAACGGGCTGGGCTTGCAGGTTCGGGCGAGAGGACGGTGCTGGAGGTGCTGAAGGGACAGCGCCCGTGTGGAATCCGCTGCCGCCCTGGCCGCCTGGGTGAGGACCGACTGTCTCCCCCGCTGGAGCTGGGCGCCACGTACGTCTGAATTCTGCTCATCCTCTCTGGAGTCCTGTCGATGCAGTCTTGGCAAAGATTGCTTGAGCCTGAATGCTTTTCCCATCTATTTTTAAATAAATGGAATTCCTCATGCTTGGATGAAATTTACCCCAACTGGGCATTTTCACGACCCGCTTTGCCTGGGCGCAGAGGAGGGGACGGGGTAGGCATGCGGGTAACCAGATTGCTGACAATGTAGCCCGTGGGTGTGCAAGACACAAAATTAAAAACATAAATGATTAATGAGCTAGCTCTTTGAAAGGACATCCTAAACAAAGGAGGAAGCAAAGATTTTCAAGCCTTGATGCAGGATTCGCTTTCCAGAACCTTCCAAGGTGTGGCAAAGCTGCTGGAGCCAACGCCATCTGTAGACGGGAGAACCACGAGCTGCAGGGTGCAAAGCTCCACCTGCATCCGGAGCTGGCCCCTCCAGCCTGGCATCCCCACAGGGGCCACACTCTCAGCCACCCCCAGGAGGCTGTGAAGCCAGCTGATGGCTCCCCAAGACTTCAGCAGAGTGTTCCCCTTTTTTTCTTGAAAAATAAGATGAACAGGTTTGTCTCTCCCAATGTCCTGGAACACCAGAGCACCTTAATCCTTGCTCCCATCTCAGCTCTGGTGCATCTGCTAAAACGGGAACTGGGGATCACTTTTCCTTCATCCTCTATGGATCAGCCCTAACCTTGGGTCCCACTTGGCTCTGACATCAAACCTGAGATGACTGCTTCCCCAGGAGGGGCCATGCACAGCCCAGGCACTGCTGAGGGACACCAGATAGTCTGAGGCTTCCCCCAACAGGATGAGGGGCCCCAGCCCTGCCGGGTTTACATTTTGAGCTATGGCTGCTCCCTCGGGTCTTCTGGTGAGTGGGAAAGACCAGCGGCGCCAGCCAGCGTGTGAGGGGAGATGCCGTGGTGCCCTCTTCCTTCTGCACACTGAAGTCCTCTCCCTCCCCTGAACACACCAGGCTGGTGCCTCCTCCCTTAACAATGGAGAGAAACCGCAGCCGCCTGGGGCAAGCCCACTTCATGCTGGTTATCACAGCCAATGTGTGGGCACAGAGGCAGGGAGGCGGGGGTCCGGAGCATGCCTCTGAATGTACACTAGCTTGTGTAAGTTGCCGTCTATCCCCAACATCCTGGATAATGTACAGGTTAGCATTCTGCCTGCACCGGCCCTTCTGTTTACAGCCGAAACACAAAACAACAAAAACAGGCCCCATGGCCACTAGCTATGGAAACCAAAGGGCAAACACAACCCACGGGCTGACCCTACACCAGGGTTAGGGCTGTTTTATGAGCAGGTCACCTGTGAGGACAGCACCAGCGATTCAGCAGAGGGCCTTCTCTAGGTAGAACCCATGGTGCCAGGCAAACGCGTGAATAGGCTGGATGTAGTCAGAGACGCACTCGAAGACCACACCCCTCCTGGGTGTGCAGAGGAGGGCCCAGTGGCGGGGCACCTCGGGGGGTGGGCAGCACGGAGCCTCAGGGGTCCCTTGGTCTCCCAGTAGCAGCTCCAGAGGGACCCCTCCCAGGACACATGGCCCCCAGCAGTGGGGAGGCCACCTCTGCCCACCTGCCCCCAAGGAAACACTGTCCCATTTGTGTCCAGGAGGCACAGATCTGCCTCCTTTGTCCTGAGGGGTGGCACTGGGCTTCCCGCTGGCCTCTCTGCTGCCCTGGGGCCACCCTCCAATCCCTGCCCCTGCCACAGGCCCCTTCTGGAGTCTGCAGAGCGAAGTCTAGGCCCCGTGGGGGGTTCAAGGCCCTCTAGGAGTGACTCTCCCATCCCAACTCAGATGGCCCTTTCTCCTCTTCTTGCCTGTGGGCCGCTGTGGCCACCCCATTTCCCCTGGGCTGTTTTCCTTGCAGGGCACCTCCAGCCTCCACAGACCCTTCCTGCACACATCCTGGGGTCTAGGGGGTCCTACTGCCTGGCAACCCTGACACCAAGAGCATGAGGTCACCATGGGCCGAGCCCCAACAGAGTCTTGGGGAGGGCCCGTACCCCCACCCCTTCCTGGAGATGTCCACTTCCAGGGCCCAGCTGAGAGGACTCCAGTCCTGCTCAGGTGGCTCTGCACCGCTCTGGGACCCCAGGGAGCGATGGGGCCACCAGGCAGGTCCGCTTGGTTAGTACCGCCTGACTCAAAGGTGACTGCAGGGTCAGTGTGCACATGGTCGGGGGAATGGGCAGGCTCAGCCCAGAGGTCTGGTCCTGCGGGCCTTGGCCCCTTCCGCCTCCGCCTCCCCTCGCCTCCCGCTCCCCTCCTGTCTCCCCTCTTACCCTCCCCTCCCCTTTTCCCCAGCCCTCCCCCTCCTCTCCCCCACCCTCTCTTCCCCTCCCTTCCCCTTCCCCTCCCCTCCCCTTCCCCTCCCCTCCTGTCTCCCCTCTCCCCCCTCCCCTCCTGTCTCCCCTCTCCCCCTCTCCTGCCCCTCCCCTTCCCTCTCCCCGCTTCGCTCCCCTCTCCCAGTCTCTTCTCCTCCCCTCCCCTCTCCCCTTCCCCTACCCCTCCCCTCCCCTCTCCTTCCCTTCCCTCCCTTCTCCCTCCTCCCCTCTCCTCTCCTACCCTCCCGTCCTCCGACTGGCGTCGCGGGGGTTAACGCAGGGCGGGGCGAGGCGGCGGGCGGAGCCGGCGCGGCCGCGGGCCAGGCGCCGAGGTGCGCGCGGAGCGAGGTGGCCGCAGCGTCTCCGCGCGCGGCCCAAGCCCGTCAGGAGCGCGGAACCGCCGCCTCGGCCATGCGGCTCCCGGCCCGGGGGCCTGGGCTGGGGCCCGCGCCGCCCCCCGCGCACCGCCCCCGCTGAGCCTGCGCCCGACCCGGGGCGCCTCCGCCCGGCACCATGGTGCAGAAGTCGCGCAACGGCGGCGTGTACCCCGGCCCGAGCGGGGAGAAGAAGCTGAAGGTGGGCTTCGTGGGGCTGGACCCCGGCGCGCCCGACTCCACCCGGGACGGGGCGCTGCTGATCGCCGGCTCCGAGATCCCCAAGCGCGGCAGCATCCTCAGCAAACCTCGCGCGGGCGGCGCGGGCGCCGGGAAGCCCCCCAAGCGCAACGCCTTCTACCGCAAGCTGCAGAATTTCCTCTACAACGTGCTGGAGCGGCCGCGCGGCTGGGCGTTCATCTACCACGCCTACGTGTGAGTGGCCGGCGGCGCCCCCGTGGCGACCCCCGTGGCGACCCCGGCCGGCCTGGCTGCGGCGGGTTTGGCTCCTGCGCCTGGGTCTGGGTCCGGGGCTGAGACCGAGAACGATTGTGCAGCGCGCGGGCAGGAAGGATTCCGGGATCGGGGCCGGGGCCGCTCGGGTCCGGGTGGGGGCTCCGGGCCCGCAGGACGGAGACGTGCGGCCGCCCCAGCCCCCTCCTCAGCCTGGCAGGCCCCTCCCCGCGGCCGCTGCGCCGAACAAAGGGCCGGCCGGGGAGGGAGGGCGGCAGCGCTGGGTCTGGACTCTCCGGGACTCTCGGGGACCCGCGGGGCTGGGGCCGCCCGACCAAGCGGGGGCGGCGGGGGAGGGTTTGGCCTGTCCTGCGCCATCCTCCCGAGCCGCTCTCCCTCAGCCTGGGGCGAGCTTTTGGGTTCCTGAGATGCGGGAGGGGCCCTCCCATGACCCCCACCCCAGCCCGGGCGGAGCGCAGCTGTCTGTCCTGCCGCCGCGGCGCCGACGCCCCTCCCTGGACCCGCGAACCCCCCTCGGCTCCTGCGCTCAGCGCGGCGCTGACCCATCTCTGCCGCCGCCGGCCGCCCCCGTGCACATCCCGGGCTCAGGACCCCTCCTTGGCAGAGCGAGGCCCGGGGAAGGGGCTGCGGCAGACCCTGGACCCCCAGCCCTGGGCCTGGAAGGGGCTGTCCCCTCTCCCCGGGCGAGGCTCAGGGCACGGCTGCCTCCTGGGGCAGGGCTGGCGGGGGCGGCCGAAGCCTGCGTCCGTGTGCACCTGGGTGTTCGCGTGTGGAATGTGCACGGCCCGCTGCGCGTGCGGCCTATGCGGCGGGTGTGCACAGCCTCCCCGCGCCAGGGCGCTTGCTCTCCCATCCCAGCCGAACAAGGGACCCGCCGAGCTCCGGGACCGGCCATTTTGTGTGAGACGCATTTTGGGATGGGACTGAGGGGCAGACTCGCCACAAGCTGGCCAGGCGCCCACCTGGGCCGAGAGGGGTGTGTGCCCCAGCGTGTGTGTGGCCTTGAGTGTGCCCTCAGCAGACCCTCCGTGGGCTGTGATATGGGAGGGTTCTGGGGTAGGGAGAAGATCCCAGAGGGAAATGCCAGGCCGCTTGCAGGGAGGGTGTCTCCGTGGAGGGCCCCTGGGCACCCAGCCTGGGACTCCCCAAGCAGAGGCTTCTCCGACCTCCTGGGTCCTGGAGGTCCTGCCGCCCCCAGGAGGGGAGTCTGGCCTTTCCAGTCCAGGGTCCATGCTCGAATCCTCGGATGAGCCTCTATGTTCTCAGGAACGGCCTTTCCTTATGGCCCCCACCTGGCTGGGAACCAAAGGGGCTGTTGGAGGGCCGGTACTGGTCAGCCAGGTCTCAGCCCAAGGTGACTCCTGGGACAAGGACAGGATAGAACCCACCCCACAGCCCTCCTGCCCCGACGGCCTCAGGGGCCAGAGCCCCACTCTGCGTTTGACCCACGGTGCTGCCCGGGGTTTGTTCTGCTTTGAGCCTGTGATCCGAGGGCCCAGCCTGGCTATTCCTGAGGTTTCCCGTCCGGTCAGCAGCTCTCCGCTGGCCGCCCCCTGCCTGGGCCTGCGTGGGTCAGCCCCTCTGTTCCTCCTTCCTGTCTCTGCCTCCTGAGAGTGGCAGTCCAGAACTGGGGTGAAGCATGGGGAGCGCTTGCACATGTGGGGTCTGAGCCATCTCCTCCTGACGACCCTAAGTCTCTACAGAGCAGCAGCTTGTGGGGGCTTCAGGCAACCTCCTCGACGTCCGAACAGCCCCACCCTCCAGCCTGCACCAGGCCTCTCCTCAGCTCCTTTGCTGTGGGCAGGGGTGGGTTGGCCTCAGGGAGGCAGCCCCTTTGGCAGGGGGATTTTTTCTGAGGGTCGGGGCTGGAGAGCAGGGTCTCTGATCCTGCCCTGGGTTGGACACTGGGGGCTGGTCTCAGAACCTCTGCAAACCTCAGTTTTCTGTGGGTAACATCGGCACAGTTGCTTCTCACTCAGGGGCTTTGTGAGCCCCGCTGCTGGGGGGCATCCCACTCTACCAGGCCGGCCCAGTGCCCTCTGTGAAAGGGGTGCAACTCACCCACCTGGCCCCCAGACCTCTGGTGTGGAGTTCTCTGCTGTCCCCATGGCCCAGCCCATCCTTGGGGTACAGTCTCCACCCCGGCTTGGGAGGCCCGATGGCCCCGTGTCCCCTGCCTGGCCCGGCATGGACTGGCCGGGTTGTGTATTAGGCATCATTTGGTCTGCTTGTTCATCAGCTAAACGGAGATGGAGCTGAGTTGGGCCTGGGGCAGCCGGGAATAGGGGGAAGGCCAGGGCTCCCTGTGCTGCTGCACCCAGCTGTGGCTGGACACAGGTCCCCAGGCCCACCTCCCTTTTGCCTGTTGCCCCCAGCGTCTGGCTTCAGAGAGGTCAAGCTGTGAGAACCTCTCTGGGCATCCCTGCTGGACCCAGGGTGGCCACTGTCTGGGGTAGAGAGGCCTGCTGCCCTATGGCCCCAGGGCTTGGTAGGCATCAGGCCAGGCCCCCGCTGCCCCGGCTCTGGGGAGGTGGAGACGTCAGCACCGAGTTAGAGAGGGGCTTTCTCCACCGTTGCTCCTCTGTGTGGAGCTGCGGCCTCCGCTCGCGCTGCCTGGTGCGTTCCCAGAGGTTCCAGAGACAGGGCCTCCCTGAGTCAGACCTGCTCTCTGCCTGGTGGGGGCGGCGTGACGGCCCACCTCTCCCAGACCCTCCCAAAGGGAGTATGAGCTGCAAAAGTGGCCCAAACTCAGCAGATGATGTGCCTGGGGCTGCCGTAGGGGACTCTGGGCCAGAGCACCATAGGGGTGCCCTTCAGAGCCTGAATCCCCAGCTCCAGCCTCTCTCCTGCTGCCCATCTGTGCACAGGATGGAGCCAGGCACTGCTGCACCATGGACTTGAATCTCCTCGTCCAGGATCCCCACGTGGGTCACTGGGCGTGTCCACTCTGTTCCCACTGGGTGTGGGCCTCAGTTACAGCCTACTAGAGGGTCACACAGCCCTGTCCCTGTGGATGGGGAAACTGAGGCAGAGGAAGGTTGAGTGAGCTCCAGAGTCGTCCTGCTTAACTGAAGGGAGGGGTCCCAGCCTGAGATGAGAGCTGGGGGTGCAGATTGCTTGAGCTTGCCAACAGCCCAGCCATGTTGAATGGCCAGGGTGAAGCTGTGTTTAAAATAGGCCAGATGGGAACTCTGGCACCAGGGAGGGCCTGTCCGTGGGGCTCGCTGTGGCATCTTGGCTTTTGGGCCAGGCCTCAGATGGGGTCCAGGGTTGCAGGGGCCTATGTTCAAGTCCCCTTGTGCCGGGGCCCAGGTGTGTCCCCTCACAGTCCTGGATAACTCAGATGGTGCTGAGCACAGGCTGCCTGGGCCTCTCTCCCACCCCCTCGTTCAGCTCTGAGGCTGGTGTGAGCCCTCGAAGGGCTGGCTGGGGTGAGCAGGCGCCCGGCACTCTCTTCTTGGTCAGGCTGCTTTGAGGGGTGAGTGCAGGCCTGGGCTTTACCCAGCACAGAGCGGGGCCCTGGCAGGACCAGGGTCCGGTCTCTGCTGACGGAGCATTATGTGCCAAGAAAGAGACTTGAATGTTTGAATGGCCACATTCCGCTTCTTCCCTCAGCCTCCTGGGTAGGAAATCTTATGGAAATTTCCCAAAAGGTGAAAAAGCCTTGGAGAGTTGTGGTTTCCGGGGAAACCTGGACTTCTCTGGTTCCTGGGCCCCTCGGGAGGTGTCGGGCTTCCTCGCAGGATTCTGTCCCTCACCAAATAATTTAAAGTGAAATTACTCTGGCGTGATGAGATGTTGTACACGACGCTGCCTCGTTACACAGTGGAGGTGGAGTCAGTCTCTGCACATTCTGTGTCTGCGAGAGGATGGGAGCTAATGGGTAAGCAGGAACGCTCCTCCTGATCCTTCCACAGTTAGAGCAGAGGAAATCCGTTTTATTAGAAATCGCTGCCAGCCAATCTCTGCAGAGACGCGGTCGCTCCAGAGGCGCCGGTGCCCTGGATGTGGGCACTGCTGGGCGCTAAGGATTCTCGACTCCCAGGATGCTGACCACGTGGGAGTCCTGTCTCCAGTTTTGAAAATGCTTAAATCCTGGAGTGTTCAGAGCTGTGGTCACTTCTCAGGGCACAGGCTGAGTCCAGTGGTGGAGAGTGGCTTAACATCGTGGTTTTCCCAGTTTGTTTTAGCTGATAAACGAATGAGTCTGTGGATCTCCGCCAGTCCCTGTGCTCCTGACACGTCCGTGCCCCCGTGTGCACACTCAGCAAGTCCGTCTTGTAGCTGCTCGCAAGAGCACGGGGCCAGCCTCTGCCTGTGGGAGTGACATTCCGTAGCCTCCATAGCCGCACAGGGGCTGGGCCAGCCTCGGCCCCATAGGAATGACGTTCCGAAGTCACAGAAGAGCCAGGCTGGCCCAAGCGCTGTAGGAGTGACATTCGCAGCAGTAGAGGAGCTGGGCTGGCCTCCGCCTGAAGCTGCTTCCAGTGTGGGGAGATGAATCTGCTACGCAGAGTGAGTTCCCTTCTAGGAAAATGGGCAGGTCTGGAGGACCAAGGGGGACCTGTGGGGGCCTTGAATCTGGCGAGAAGGGATATGGGATGGCCGAGCTGCCTTGCCCAGAGGCTGGGGAGGGGCAGCCTGTGCCCTGGGCCCTCCGAGTGTCCACTTGAGGTTGGACGGGAGGCTGGGGCCAGCAGCCAGGCCGTGTCCTGTTAAAGGCTCAGGCGAGAGCCGTGTGCCCGTTTTGGGAGGACGGGGGGCAAGGATGGTGGGGTGATGCCCGCGATGTCCCTCGGGAGAGACGTTGGCCTTGTGTCCGACATCTCATTATCACAGACGGAGCCGAGTGCGTTACCTCGCCGGGGGTCACCTTAACTGTTTTCCAGTGTGCATGCCGGGCAGCTCTGAGACGGGAAACTGCTGGTGTGTGTGCTGTCCACTGTGCAGCCCCGCTCCCC